TATGCAGCACATGCCTAGGCCCTGGCCCCTGGAAGGGAGTTGCAGGTGGACAAGGCTGAGGCCAGGGTCCAGGTGCTGTGAAGGGCCTCTGTGCTGGAGGCTCCCAGCAGATGGGTGAGCCCTTGGCCTGGCTGGGTGGGAACTGGGCTTATTTGGTCTAGAGAAGAGAATACTGAGAGCGGATTTAATAGTAGCCTTCAACTACCTGAAAAGGGGTTTGAAAGAGGATGGAACTAGACTGTTCTCAGTGGTGGCAGATGACAAAACAAGGAGCAACAGTCTCAAGTTGCAGCAAGGGAAATTTAGGTTAGATATCAGGAAGAATTTTCTCACTAGGAGGGTACTAAAACACTGGAACAAGTTACCCAGGGGAGTGATGGAAGCTCCATCCTTGGAGGGTTTTAAGACTCAGCTAGACAAAACTTCGGCTGGTATGATTGAGCTGGGGATGGTCCTGCTTTGAGCAGGGGGTTGGACTAGATGATCTCCTGAGGTCCTTTCCAACCCTAGCTTTCTATGATTCCATGAGAGGCACAACCCCTCCCCACCAAACACAAGGGGATATATTAGCAGTTTGTACAACAGATGCTGGTGAATAGGTGGGGGTAAGGACAAGCAGGGGAAAGAGATGAGGTTAGAGAAAAAGTAGAAAACAATGGTGGGCAGTATATAATAGGCAAACGAGAGACAGTAGAGCCACCGAGTTAAACAGAATGCAACAGTTTGTAAAATGAGACAAAACAAGGAGGTAGTCCCTCTGGGGGAGGGCAGGGTGCTGATGGGGACTCTGGGTATTACACAAAAAGACTGGATAGTCAGTCCAGCTACGAGTTATAGTCCTGGCTCTGCTCTCATTAATTCTGTGACCATGTCTAAGCTTTTTGTGCCTTCTCATTCAACTCCTATCTTTTGTCCAACTTATCTATTTAGCCTTCAAGCCCTTCAGAACAAAACTAGTCACTAAATGTATGTACAGTGTCTAGAACAGAAGGTCCTCCAATCTTGCTTGGACCCTCACAGTAATATAAATATCATTGTCTGCATTACAAAACTACCTAATGCTGACAACAGGTGTCAGCAATCATTTCTGTAAAAGGCTAAAACCTCAGGTTTGCTGTATGCACATGAAAGACAATTCAGACTGCTGAGGAACCTTGCAGGGGAGGGGGGGAGGGAAAGGGGATACAAAAAACCAAATGAGTACTGAGTATTATAACTACTTGACTGTTTTGTTTTTAAAGGATTTATCATATCAACTTATGGCTAAACTAAAGAACATTTGCACAAAAATCTGAGGGAATAGGAACAGACCGAGAGGCAAGAAAACAGTGGGAGAACTGAGGGGGAAACAAAAGGGACTTCTAGCCCAGGGAATGAGTGGTAGGATAAAAAGAGTTTTTTTCTATGTGACTCTTAGTCACAGCTAACCTGGGCTAGATCTGATACACAGCTGCAGACATCTGACAAGTTGGGTAGCCAGTAAGAAATGAGGTAGAGGTCTCCATTTAGTTCCAAGCAGATGGGGCAGAATGGACTATCCCTTATGCAAAAGGAAGCATTTTACATTTTTGGTACTGTTCCTTGCTCTGGATATAAGACAGAGTTTGGTTCCCAGGGTTGTTAAGTCATACAAATTAATAAGAAAGCAGTTAATGTAACACGCATATCATTTACTCTAGGGGCATCAGAACTCATCCAGGCTGGATGATGGTCTCTGGGCTGCTCTGCAAACTAGATCTGGCCACACTGGAGCTAGGGGGTAGAATTGGTCTGGTGGGGAAATCACATGCAGCATGCTTCCCATGCTAACCCCTTGTGCTTCAGGCAGCATGCACCAGCTCCACTTTGGGGCTTTCACTGAAGGCAGAGCACAGGCTGGACCTGGTGCTGTGAGTACTGCTTGGGGCCCTAAGGGTCAGCAGAGGGCATGCACAGCATGCAGCACTCCACTGGATTAGCCCTGAGCATTTACTCCAGGGCTGGTCAGAATCAGGCTCCAGGCCATCCCTGTGCAGTGGAGCCAGCACACAGGGTTGTGTGGGAGGGCACCATATGAAGGCAGCACAAGCCCCAGTGCAGTACACGTGGTGCACATGTTGGACTTAGTGCCTTGGGCGCTGCTTGGACATAGGGCTGGCACAGGGTGCACACTGCAAGAAGCACTCTGCTGGACAGTCTTGTGTGCTGGCTCTGGAGCCAGTGCACAGGGTTGGCCTGGTACAGGCACTGCATGCAGTTTGCGCATCAGACCAATCTCAAGCTACGTGCAGGACTTGTGGCTCTAGGTCCAGTGCATGTGCCAGACTGATTCCACATTAAACATGCATGGCTGGTCCAAAACTAATGGATTCGATCATGCTCCACAGGCTAGATGTAGAATGTGGGCTATATATTCAACACCTCTGGTTTACACAATCCACACAATGAGAAGAACAGAAAAAGGAAGGACAGCTACTCCCTTGGAGGATGCCACAATTTTTTCAGATAATTGCTGGCAAAAACAGACATAGCAAACAGCACGAATCTGGCAGCATTCCACCTACCTCTTACATACAGGATAGAGAAGTAAGAACGTGCTCTCCAAGCCACTTTTGAAGATAAAATATCTTGAAACAATGGCCAGAAATAAGAACACACATTTCTAAAAAAATGACTCAACCTGATGAATTTAGCAAGCTTTGAAAAAAAATAATGGCTTCTAGTATTAACAAACATCCTCAGGGCTAAAAGGGCTTTCACAGACCGTAAGAGCCATCAAGCTAAATAAATGCCAACCAAAGACATTTCAATCCCTTTCTGTAGCACTTTTAAGGTTTACTGTAAGTGGGACTGCTCAGCTAATTCTTTTGTTAATGATGTTTCTGTATGATTTAACATCTTACATTAACACTTTGCATCAAGAGTTTGTGTCAAAAGTTTAATGAACTTTTGGCACACTTACAATGAATCACATTATAAGTTTGTTCGACATTTCAGGCACTCTACAGTTATGATTTCAGTAAAATATGCAATTCTAGAAATCATAAACGTCAAAATAATTTGTCAGTCTAGGGTATGCCAGACTACTTGAAGAGCACACTCAGGACAGTAGAGAGTCACTTGGGAGTAAGAAGCTGTATAAGTGAGAAAATACCCCAGCTGAGAACTAATGCAGCTGGGTCTTGGAACAGCTTATGTTACAGGTTTGCAGCTTTCTTATTGTGATTCCAAGAGCATCTGGTACAGTTGCAAAAGCACATGTGGCTGAGACTCATATGGAAGTATCAATGCAAGTCACCTCTTAATCTCTGACTAGTAAGTAGGGAATTGCAGCTGGGGGGGAGAGGGGAGGACTACAGTCAGTTACAAGATGGGGCTACTTTTCTCTGTCCTCTTGTGTGGTGGGAAGTAATCATAACTTAGTTCTTTTCCACTCAAAGTTTTTCTGGATTCTTCTGTTATGGAGTACATTTTAATGTTCCCGTAATAGATACAAAAAACTCTCCGCTTTATTTTATTACTGGTCTGGGACCCGGCTCCCCAGGGAAGTTTTCCTAATGGCAACTAGATAAAATACTTTTCTCAACCCTCTTCCTCAAGTGCCATTCCTTATTTCACTACTGCTTATAATAAGGCTTGAAGAAAATCTGGCTGATACCTAATAGCCAGAGATGCAGATATGAAAGAGCTGGCTAAGGAACCTTCACTATGAAGTTCCAGGACAAAACTCTGACAATAAAATTTAGTCTTAGTTCAGCTGCTAAAACAGGGGAGGATATCAAGCTTGAAACCGCAGTTATTCTTATGTCCTGCTTTACTTTTACCTAAGCTCTGGAAAGATGGATATTACTGTATGTGTCTTTTTCACGTGTAGGCACCTACTTAATTTGTGATTCCACAGAAACTGCAAAATTGGGCATTGTCCATAAAATTAGGCAGTATCTGCAAAATCCACGGGGGGGAAAAAAAAAAAAGAACAAAAAACACCTTACTAAAAATAAAATACTGACTCCGCAGTGGGAGTCAGCAGTCCTCATGGTTGCTGTAGCCCAGCTATTCAGCCTGCAGGGCGTAGGAGAGCTGCCAGCTCAAAGGGAAGCAGCCAAGATGGCTACCCCCCCATCACTGATTGGCTGAGAGAGCTGCCTGTTGTGCAGCCCTACATCTCTCCACCTATCAGCAGCAAGGCCACATAACAGATAGGCCTCTCAACAAATCTCCAGCAAGGTATGGGGCTACTGTGGCCCCTCAGGCAATCAGAAGCATGGTAAGCACACAAAAATGGCAGCTGGCCCCACAACCTGCCCACAAAATCAGCCTCCTGCCTCCTCAATTTGGGTAGGTTTCTACCCATGTAAAGCTGCTAGCTATGAAGTAGAGAATGGGTTTCCATTATTCTCTTTTTCTCCCAGCCTCCATTTTTGGGTCATTCTCCCTGAGAAAAGGCATTAAAGTGTGCTTTGCTGCCGGTCATACTTTTCATAAGCAAGAGCAGAATGAAAGAGATCCAGCTCGTCATTTTTTTGTACTGTCTACAGTATTCTGAATATCAGCTGTGAGAATGACAAAGCTACTTACTTTTCACTGCACTGTATCTATGAATTCTACAAACAGAAGCTGACATCTGCCTTCAACTACATATGATGGTGCTCTGCTTCAGAACATTAGTTCATGCTTGGAATCTTACCTCTGCAGCCGTAAGGAGTCAAAACTATATTTAAAATGAAAGTCGGTCTGTTATATAAGCCAATGACATCATTTGCCACACATATTCAGAGAAGTTTTCTATTTGCTAGTAGCGAATGAGGGGTTTTTGGTTTTGTTTTGGGGGGGTTGTCCTTTCATGAACAATTGCTCAGTCATCAATTCTCTAATTAGGATTGCAATAGTACACATTAGATGAAAGCAGAAATGAGCTGAAGCCACAAAATAAGATCGTAAAAAGATGGACAGACCACTGGATGTGCCACCTTATTTTAAGTCTAGATTACAAAAAGTAGAATGTAACCATTGACTCTTACCTGGATATTGTCAAATTTTAATCCAGGCATAGCGAGGTTCTCTTTGTCTATGAACACGGTGCTGTACTGCTGTGTGGCTACTGAGATTAAAACATTTCTGGTTTCGTCACTAGGAAGCCAGGCATCATTTCTTCTGTCTAGTTCACTTATATTCAAGGCTGTGGCAAAGGGGTCATCACTTCCAGAAAAAACAGCCTGGATCTGTGAAAATGGTTTGGGAGACTCTGATATTTCTAAAGATGCTGGGGGGCCACCTGCTTCAGATCTCTCGTTTCCTCCTGCATAGATGGGGTCAGCTGAGGCATGTGAACGATCTCCGACTGTAGAAAGAGATGACATGTGTTCTGGTACTGAAGAGCTTGCATTAGGATTACTGACAGAAATAAAAGTGGATGTAGTAAATGAATCAAAAAAATCAGAAGCTAGAGTATTAGTGTTAACAGTATCACCAAAAAACTTGCTTAGACTAGGACTTGGTTGAACCACCTGTGGTTGAGACTTTGCTGCAGTCTCATTTACACTGCTAAAACTAGGAGACTTTACCATCTGAGGCTCAAAGCCATCGTGTAGGAACAACTGTAGTTGAGTGTTAGCATGGCTTGCTTGACTGAAAATGGTGCACACAGGGATCGGCTCAGCATCAGATGTTCTGCTGGCAAGCGGTGATGATATTTGCTCCTCGGTTTTACTTTCATCAATATCACTTGGCGTTGAGGCCATTGGAACTTCGTCTCCTACTTTCGGTCCAATTTTTGGTGCTTCTTGAATTGAATCCTCCTTTAAAGATGCCTGATCATCTGTTCCAATGTCAGAAACATCTTTGGGTGTTTCTTCTGGTTCCATTTCACTCTGACTCAGGGCTTCTTCTTTATCCACTTCCTCTGCTACATGAATATCTTTGGCTTCCATTTGCTCTACAATCTCCCGCAGGCAACCAAGTTCACCAGTGTCATCTTCACTATTGTTTGGAGAATCTGAAATAACAACACTTTCCATCATATGTTCATTAAGTTTATCTAAAAAGTTATTGGAATCTTCTGAGATGGTCTCATTCCCTTCAGACTCAAATTCATCCCCACCAAGATCAATGGTTTCCTCATGAAAGAGAAGTTCTTCCTGAACTCCCTGCTGAACTTCATTCCTACTATCCTCTTCATGTGAAACACTCTTCTTAGAATTCTTATTCTTAGTTCCATTATTTTCCATTGCGTCTAAAGAAGAAAAATAGGCAGGAAATTAGTTTTGCTGAACAAGTACTGTACACTTCTATTCTGAACCTCAAAAATATTGACTGAATGAAAGTTTCTAAATCCAGTAATCTGACTATTAGAACGTTAATTTATCACAAAAATCCATTTGATGACAAAAATGTTTTAAACCCACTTTCTGCCATTATGAACAATGGAGTTACAAAACACTGTAATGACACGAGGCCAATGGCATACATATCCATAGAGTTCTATTTAACTACTGCAGCTGCCCCCTACAAAGATCATTATTAACACTCTGACCTGTCACAGGTAAAGCAGGGTGAGCAAGGATGCCCAGGCTCTGCTACAAGTGCTCTAGAACAACAACCCCCAAGCCAAGCAGCTAACACATGTCTGGTACATGACATTTGCTGATGCACCTGTGTTGCCAGGTATACAATCATGATCGTATTTGTGCAATAATTTCAACCCTTGTACAATCAATAAGAGTGTTCAAAATAGGCCATAATTTTTAGGTGGCTAATTGATGAAGCATATGTAAAGCCCAAATCACTCTTAGAGAGTCTTAACTGACTTTTTGGGTTTGCTGTCAGTGCTTTCTTAAGACTCCTTGCCTCCAAATAAAGAAATGCTTCAACTTTGACAATGCATGGTCTCGCTCACCCACTGGTGACTTACAGTGAGCAACAGAAAATAAATAAGAAAAAGTCTTTTCATTTTTTTTCACTATACAATAGTCGGACAGCATACACGGTAATTCAGAGCTTTCAATACAATAATGTCATATTGAAGACCTGGCAATGCTGCTATGTGCTGGAGCAGACCCTGGTTCTACAGTGCACTTGGGATGCAAGGACCAGGATTTTCTTAGCCTCATCCCCTACCTCCAAACCCGCCACTCGCCCGCTCCCGCGGGGGCCCCAGTGCTGGGGCCCAGGAAGCCCCGCTCCCCGCGGCCACGGCCGGCTGCGCGCGCAACGACTGCCCGGCCCCGGGGCCCTCGGTCGCCCCAGTGACCATAGCAACAGCGAGGTGCACCCCCAACGGCAGCAAACAACTCCCGGGCGCGTACAGGGCACTCCTCTGCCAGCTCCTCCTCCCGCGCGGGGCACCCAAGGCGACCCCTGACCCGCGGCCTCGGTCCCACCTGCCACCGGCTCGGCGCCGCCGAATCTCTTCCCTGACAGGCGCCGGCAATCACTACGCCTGCGCCAGAAGCAGGACAAACCCCTCGCAGCGCATGCGCTACATCCTCACCCGGAAGTTGAGAGTGACGGACGCCGCTGTGGGTCAAAAATCACGGGGCAAAACACCCGGCAAGCAGGTACAGAGGACTCATAGTTGGAGGCGGCAGAGCTATGGAAGATGACGCGCCGGTGATTTATGGGCTGGAGTTCCAGGTGTGTGTGTATGTGGCGGCTCCGTAAGGCGGAGCGGGAAAGTGTGGGGGGGGACTTAATGCTTACCTGGGCTCGGATCCTGCCACGCGCCGGGGAGCTGCAGGCAACGTTGGTATGTTTCAAGTGCGCGCCTCCGGTGGTACGTTCCAGGCTTGCGCCTCCCTCCCAGGTGCGCGCCCCAGGTGGTACGTTCCAGGTGGTCTCAGTGACTGGCTGCGCTGGAGTAGAATGCGCAGGCGCAGGGCGGAGTTGTGCCCACGCTCTGGCCCCAGGCGTCGGGAGCGAGTCCCTGCCCCCTCTCGGGCTTTCTGAGTTTTGCCCGGACGCCCTCGCGCGGGCCCTGTGCTGTGACAATGCTCCTGTCCTGCTGAGACTTTAAGCTGCAAGCCTCCGGCTCCGGGCTCTTGCCCTGGGCGCAGGGTCAGAGCCGCCTCCGCATTTGGGGTCAGGAAGGATGCTTACCCTGTGGCCAAAGGGGTGTGGGCTGGTGGGGAGCACGGCCTCTGCAGCAGGTGTTGGCAACCTGCACAGCAGCAGGACGTGGGCTGCGGTGCCCCCTGCTTCCCTGCGCCAGGTTTAGGTCTTGTGTTGTGTCCATGTTGATGGGAGCTTTGCTGGGAGGTTAGACAGCGGGTTGCGATGGGATGGTTTGGGTAGGGATGATCCTGTCTTGGCAGGGAGGGTTGGATTAGATCCACGTTTCTTAACCCATGGGTCACGACCCAAAAGTGGGTCATAGGAATATATGAAAGGGTTGCAAACAAACTTCAGAAAATGGATTTTCTCTGTTAAAAGAGAAAAACGTGGGAAACAGCGGGTTTCCTATTGCAGGCTGGCAGAGTTCCAGCCTGTGAGGAGCTGCTTGGGGCTGGGGGGAGTGGAGGAGGGTGACCAGGTAGGGGGTACGACATGCATGCACGCATGCACGTGGCAGCCAGGCAGCATGGAGAGCAGTTCTTGTAGCTCTCAGCAGGTAAGTCTATGGGGTAGGGGGACTATAGTATAGACAACATGGCAGGGGGGCACAAGCAACACCTGCCACCCCATGTTCTATTTGGGGTAGAGCTGTGGTCCAAGGGGAGCAGCAGTGGTGGCTGGGCTGTGGCAGCATGGTAGAGCTGTAGCTTGGCACACTAGTGGTTAGTGAAGGTGAGGGCAGTGTGCCCTCCTCCACCCATGCCCCACAGAGTGGGGGCCTTGGGCAGGGGGCAGCTGGCTGGAAGTGAGGGGCACCAGCAGGGTTGGCAGCATGGGGGTCTGTGGGTTGTGAGTGAAGGGCAGTGGCAGGGCCAGAAGGTTGTTTTCTACTTGAACTGTTTACTGGGTTGGGCCTGGCCATCAATGTTTACAAAAGGTTGAGAACCATGGGATTAAATGACCTCTAGAGATCCTTTCCAGCCCTGCTTCTTGATGACTATGACTCAGTTGCCCCCTTCCCTCACTTCTTCCCTATCGCTTCCTTACCCTCGACCGTGCCCTAGGGGTAAGTGCTTTGCCCTGTTCTGTGGGGAGGGAAATGTTCAACGTCTCTGAAGAGATCTTCCTGGGTGCTTTTTTTCCTCTCTTGTAGAGCAAGGGAGACATGTGTTTCTTTCATGGGGAGGAGGAATCCAGTTCAGGATGCTATCTGCCATGACATGCAAGTGATATCATCAAAAATGTCACCCCAAAAATCCTTGCCTGGGCTGATCCAGCATGTGGGGCCATGCCAGCCAGCATCCATGGGGCTCGCTGGGGGTCCAGAAATTAGGCCAGCAGGATGAGTGGTGACAGTGTTAAAAGCTTTGTCTCCAGGAGATCTCTGCAGTTGTCACTGCCACCGGTACTCCGCCACTGAGCTCTTGGAGATATGGGAACCCCTAAGGCTGTACCTTGGTCACCTTGGGGCTAGATCCTTTTCAGATATTGTTACTGGTGTTGCAGTTGCTTTCTGAATTTATCCCACATGGAAAACTCAGACGTGAAACTGTTGGTTTATCTTCATGTTGCAATGGGGTAGTTTCCTGTAGGCTTCAAAACTCAGATGTTCAAAGAAAGGGCAACTGAATGAAATACTTAATAAAGATTCTTTGGCTGGGTGACAGCATGGGGTTGCTCCAGCAATTAATTGTTTGTGTGCTGTGTTTGCTAGGGTGCAGCCCATTCTTTATAGGATACTACACTTTCTCATGTCTGACCATTGCTCACTATCGGTAGTCTTATGAGAGGTGGGCAACTGGGTCTAGTGCCTTGGTCACCCCCTTAGGGCATGTCACTACTGTTGCCTACCTCTGCTCACCATTTTATGGCCAGGACATGGAATTAAATGTTATGCTCAGGTTGATAACTGAGGCTTAAATCTTATTTGGGGTCATAGAATGAAATCCATCTGTAATACCCAGTGTATTTGATGACAAGATAGATAAGGCGCTCAAACTACCTAGCTCCTGCCACAGTTGCTATTCACAAGTCTGTGCTGCTCCTGTTACTTTCTGGACAATACGCAGTAGCTGTTGGGGGACTCTGGCCTAGTGGGAGCACAAGGGCAACAGGTTATATGGGAAGGTAGCTGTAATCTGGGAGTCATTAAAGTTAGCACCATGTGACAAAGTTTAATCTTGCTGTCATGCAGATCATCAGGTTTTCATTAAACTGGCTAATGAATAAGCAACTTTGCTCTGTTCCTTGAATCCAACATTCATGTCACAAAAGAATGACTCCTTTTGTATCTGCCAAATCTTTTATCCTCACTCTTGACAATGATTTTGATCACATTTACAAGAAATTCTGTTGTACACAGAATCTTAGAAAATTAGGGTTGGAAGGGACCTTGGGAGGTCTCTGCTCAAAGCAGAACCGTCCCTGACTATATTACTCCAGCCAAGACTTTGTCTAGCCAGATCTTAAAAATTTTCAAGGATGGAGATTCCACAGCTTCTCTGTGTAACCTACTCCAGTGCTTTACTACCTTCCTAGTGAGAGTTTTCCTAATATCTAACCTAAATTTCTCATGCTGCAACTTGAGACCATTGCTCCTTATTTCGTCATCTGCCATGACTAAGAACAGTTTAGCTCCATCGTTGCTGGAACCACCCTTTAGGCAGTTGAAGACTGCTGTTAAATCCCCACTCAGTCTTCTCTTCTCTAGGTTAAATAAACCCGGGTCCCCTAGCCTCTCCTTATAAATAGGTTGACTGTACGGGACAATGTGAAACCCGGGACGCTGCCCCCCTACCCACCTCAAGTCAATGATGTGGGGGAGAGGGGGCAGCTTGATGCAGCTCTAGTGATGCTTTTCAGGCAGCTAAGGGAGTCAGTGACCCATTAATGACCTATTGTTCTTTACTTGTTATCTCCCCTTTTTAATGGTCATTCCACTAATCAAGCTAACTGATTTTAGGGTAGTTTAGCTGTCTGTTAGGCCTTCCTATTTCACAGCTTCTGCCACTCCACCCTGCACCCAGGATGCTTATTTTAATTTTAACATCTGGCTGGGGCCAGCCTCTGAAATCTGGAAATGTCCAGCCAAGCCTGGACGTATACTTACACTCCTCATAAGTCACATGCCCCAGCCCCCTATCCATTTTTGTTGTCGTCTGCTGGACTGTCTCCAATTTGTCCACTTCCTTTCTGTAGTGGGGGGGGGCAAAACTGGACACAGTACTGCAGATGTGGCCTTACCAGTGCTGAATAGAGGGGAATAAGCACTTCCCTTGATCTGCTGGTAACACTCAGGCTAATGCAGCCCAGTATGCTGTTAGCCTTCTTCACGCAAAGGGCACAGTGTTGACTCGTATTCAGCTTTTTATCCACTGTAACCCCAGGTCCTGGGATTGTTCCATCTTATGTGCAGGACTTTGTACTTGTCCTTATTGAGCCTCATGAGCTTCTTTTTGATCCAATCCTCTAATTTGCTGAGGTCACTTTGAATCTTAGACCTGCCCCTTGTTACTTTGAATTACCAATCTATTAAATCAAGAGCAAGACCTTATAAAGGGGGATAAAGCAAAATGCTGCGTTTATTGATTACATGAATTGGACATAGAGGTTCAGACACACCACTCATATAGATGTGCACACAAATCATCATACACATCTTTACACACAGGCGCGCACAAACAAAAAACAACCGTTCCATTCTGTCATTATAGTTACCAGCAGCAGTTGTTCAATAATAGCACTGGGTGGCCAGCCCAGGTCTTACTGAGAGAGAGAGATCCTGGAGATAGCAGCTTGGAGCGGGGTGAACACACGCATCTGTGCTCCAAAGAAACAGCAGTTGAGAGAGACTTACTGAACCTGGTATATTCCAGATTCCTCTTTTTATGGGGGTTGGCATCCTTTGTTTAGCACTTTAGGGTTTTTCCATACCCAATTTCTGTTTTTGCAGTTGTTTCTCATCCATCTTCTGCTTATCTCAGCCCAAGGTCAGTTTGGTCTTAAAGCTGGTATCTCAGCCTTGGAGTGTCCTTGCTGCCCATCTGACAGGATGCGCGCATTCCTCCTCGTTATCCTCCTCCTCGTTGTGCCCTAGGCCTCAAAGTCATTCTTCAACCATTTATTAATTAGTTTACTGACTGGTAACTTACATTTGGCACCTTGTTGCTTACATAAACAGTTAAACCTTCTTGTTCTGTCTCTATGCCATTCTCTCACCATTTGCCCTTTCGCATACACTCATTCATAAAAGGGCATACAGAGTTCATTCACTTATGTCAAGCAAAAGAATACAAAATGGAATTTTCAAGTTACTTAGAGGACAAAACTAACATGGTTACATTTCACTATTATTACACTATGTTAACATCACCTACATTCGTTCAGTTCATGCTACACCAGGGGTGGGCAAAGTACGGCCCATGAGGCCGTTCTATCCAGCCTATGGGGCCCCTAAAAAAAAAAATTTAGAAAATTAAAATACATCTGCCCTTGGTTCCTGTCAAAGATGACAGAAACCAAGGGCACTAGAACCCAGGGGAAGCCGTGGAGGGTTCCTTCAGCAGCAGGGCCTGTCTGGCCCCACCCCCCACATCTGGAAGCCCCAGGAGGGGCTTCTGGCCTGGGACCATGTGGCTGCCTTGGCATGGGAAGCTCTGGTGGGTGGGAGGGGGAAGGGCAGGGGGTGAGCTGGTGTGGAGCATGGGGAAAAGTGGCGTCTCCCTTGCCCCGTAGTCCACGCTCCTTACTGCAGCCGCTCATAGCCCACACGGGGCTGTCCTGAGCAGGCACTGGCAGCC